GTGATTAACTATTTGTCAAACGATGCACCAAATGACTCACCCATTACTGTAATTAATAATCGGTATAGCATAAATTAGTTAGTAATGGAACGAGAATGTATATAAGCGCATGCAATTTCCACTAGCAAACATCTTCAGTTTGTCCGATCTCGACATTTCTTACAAACACGCTGATTTGGTACCGTTTTGAAGCTATTTTTCGGGGGAAAAAAATAATTATGGATTATATAGTACATATTAATATGGGCAATAGAGATAAAAACTTTTGACTTGTTTTACTAGTAAAATTTTGTGTCGTACTTATACTTTTGGCAGGGTGTGTATATTCCATCCGAAAGTATTTTCTAGAACATCATGACATTGTAAGAGGGAAGAATTGTTTTAAACAAGGAAGTAGAAGACTCAGTTTCAGACTGAGCATTGAATATTGGAGCATGATATGGGACAATCCAGCAGGAACAATCATTCATAGTACACTTAATTTGAATGATGACTGGTCATTACCATTGACTTACACAAAAATGTATTAGTATTAAGATGTGTAGCTATGATCTCTACTTTGCGAAATCCAGTTTTCATAGATTTACAAAGAACTTCAAGTAATGATTACTTATATGGAAATGGCATAGTCTTTTCAAACACATTGATCAGTTTTTACACACACTCATATCATAGCCCAAACATGTACAGTATGACCATTCGAAAACTAAGTAACGATCAACCGATATTGTCGAAATATAGAGTTACTGTATAAACAAACGGAAATAGTAGAGTGAGAATCAAAAGGTGGACTGATTCTTTATAGAAGATTATAAGAGTATACATGTAATATCTCACATTCTCGCTAATCCAACGCTCCGATGTTCTAATAAAGAAAATACGACGAGTGGGATACCCTTCACTGCTGTTAATTTACAGTAACTTGTACAAAGCGGTTGGAAAGCGCATTAACATGGCATACGAAATTACTATTTAGGCCTAATTTATTGTAATTTGGGATTATTGTCAGCAAGAACGTCATTAAACATGAGTCTAATAACAGACATTAACGTTTGAAAAAGAAGGTTAAAACCGAGCATATATAGCTAACCCCAGGTCAGCTACTTAATCGCATTGCTGACACGACAAAGCGAGATTGGACCTGATTTTAATTTTGTCAGACTAAGGCTTAACAGTAAACATAATTATCGCGGCACAAGTCTTAAGATCTTGAATTATTAGCCGTGATTTTTTATTCAAGGCTTTCATCTAATATAATGTTTACCAAAAGATATCTGCTATATTAATGGTTGTTTCAAGTAAGTCATTCCTCTTGGTAAATTTTAATAGGATCAATAGTTGCTGGTATTTTATGTTTGCCTCGCTTACGACAGGAAGAGCTCTTTCTTCATCCAGAAGTTTCTGGCTTTAATTTTGTGCTGCTAACACAAATAGATTAGGACTACGTGGATGTTTTGAAAAAACTTTAGTTTCATGTAAAAGACGCGGTTTTTATTCCAAAACTCATCGGATGTAACGATGATGAGTGTCATTCGATAACTATGCAGAGGTTATTTATTACGCGTATTAATTAAAATATGCGAGCACAGTGCCTTTGACTAATCTTTCTGCTTATAATGGCAATTGTCTATATATAAATTACGTGAAATAACCATAGTTTATCCGAAAAGCTCAATCTACCATTCCATCTTGGTAACAGTGACAAATAAAATACATTTACTTATATAGTAAAATATATATTTCTATGACTAATTCTTATGATCTATCTGCCTCTTATCCGTTTATCGCTATTACTATTGCCAATTATTAGTATGTAAGTTTGTACGTTAATAAATCGAGCATTAGTTGAAACCCACATACGACAACAATGGTATAAAGAAGTCGTACGAGATTCCAGATATATATTAGTGGTTCCATTAGTGATAAACATGTGATAAAATACCAACATTTCGAACTTCTGGTATTGTGGCAATTATGTTCAAAAAGAAAAAACCTGAAACCCTGAAATCCTTTCATCAACATTGTTGGTATTAGTATGCTCCATATAACATCATATTTAGCGTTTTCGTGCCTGGGGAATGGGATCTTCCTTTTGGAAATGATGTTCCTAGCTAGTCGCACAAGACTGTAAATTCAATTGCATTTTCTCTGTTCAACTGCATAAACCAATACAAAGTCATGGACGATAATAACACACCATACGAACACAGAAAAGAACGCATTAACTTGCATCGAAGAGGACTTCCTCCTATGAGAAGCTTTAAAACAAACACTCAGTCGACCGCACCCGACACAGCGAATCTGAAAGGGATTGAAAAGGGCAAACAAAGCCAATTGTCTTCTTCAAGATCATTATTAAAAGAAACCAACAAAAGAGAGTCGGGGTTTGGTGCAAAAGCCTTTAAGACGGGAAAGACAAAAGATCCAGGAACTATAAGTGCCGCCATTACCGCTGCCACTGCTACGGCTACGGTTCCAACAACATTAGCAGCACCTACAGCAACAGAAAGCCTTTCATTCAACAGATACCCATATCAACCGTCGTCGCGAGTTAAAATTAGTAATCCCTTGTCGCTAAACACAATTCGTACTAGCTTATCCTCAAACTCGGCTCGTTCTCCAAATTCATCACGTTCCTCAAACTCACATCGCTCACCTCCTCATAGGCACAAGAAACCAGCCGCATCACGTCAAAATTCTGACTTTGATGCAATACCCACAATAACGACAACAACTTCGTCTCCGACGCAGGCGTTTGCATCAGACACAATACCAAACAATGATCCGCCTAATAGTTTACCAAAATGGTCGGCGCGAATGGGAATGATATTTCCTGATGATCATGATTGCATGAATGCTGAAATAAAAAGGCAAGAGCACTGGGATCAGCCGACGATTCCAAAACGAGAAGCTTCATTGCTCTGGGGATCAAACGCGTCGTCTCAAAGTATGTCACGCGGATTAAGCGATTCAACGACCGCCACGTCAATAACAACAAATCCACTCAAACAGCGTTCGATTGCCAAATCCCAGGACGGAGTTTCCCAAGAATTCGATTCTAATAAGCAATATACAACATCCAACTTTCCGACTATATATACAGTTTCTGCACACAAAAGTCGAAACGCTGATCATAGTAGTGCATTTAATAGAGCATCAGACGACCTAGGACCTAATTCTACGCTTTCAAATCCGTACGAGTCACTACGAATGTCGCGATCGTTTTCAGACGTATTACCCCGATCTTTATCGTATAATGATCAGTTAGTGGGTTTTGATCGACAATCGGAGTCACCTCCTGATTCACCCGAGATGTCGAGCAAAAAACTAACCATCGAGACAAACGTCAATTCTAATGCACAGGACGATAGCAATCCTGACTCGCCAACACCATCTGGTGAAAAGAATGACGATTCATTCCCGGAAGAGCTAACGTACTATTCACCATTTGCTGGCAGAAGGCCATATCTACGAGGACATTATTCAAACTATTCAATTGATTCAACATTTTCACCCGAAACGAGTCAAGTAGTATACTCAATGTCGCAGGCAGATTTAATATTTGACAATCCTGCAGAAACAACAACTACTTCCGATGATGCCATAGACACTACTGCTTCCAATACTACTGAGGCGAGTACTCCATTCTCTTCCGAGTATTCATCACCTAAACAATCGAAACGTCCTTTGCAAGACATGGCAATCAATGTTCAGTCAACTTTTCTTCAACGTTCACCGTCGCTATCTTCAACGACCTCTAGTGCACAATACTCATACAATACTGACAGCGGTCCGCCCTCGGCAATTGTAGCGCCTCGTAAATTCCTTCTACAATCACTTGTGCTCCAAGTAGTAAACTCTAGCAGTACAAAAAATCGATATCTATTCCTATTCAATGACCTCTTAGTTATCGCAGAACCCATTAACGTCGAACCTCATACGATACCTACTTTGGACAACTTATTCCAGATCAAGTATATTGTTGAAATGAGCAAAATTACTTTAATCGTATCGCTTGATAAAGAGGAAGATATGAAGAATAAACCTAGGAGGGAACCATCAGTATTACAAGAGTTTGCTAAAAAGTTTGCTATTGATCCTATATATGCTATTGATTACATGATTGGTACAAGACGCATAATAAACGATCCGGTGCATATTGCAAAATTACTCCTGAGGAGTTCAGAATTAAGCAAGCGTCAGTTGGGTATTTACTTGGCTGATCAGAATCACAAGAAAGTGTTACTGGCATATTTGGATAGATTGAATTTTGAGGGAATTTACATTGACGAAGCGCTGAGGATATTTTTGATGAGCATAGTTCTGCCTCAAACTCAAACAGACATTAATTATTTAATAACTGCATTCGCTAAACGATGGCATCATGCCAACGCAAATGTAGCCAAATTCAATGATGAAACAGCCATTAAACTGACATTTGCAACGCTAGAACTAAACAACAAACTACACAAGTGCGAGACCGTGGGCAAATCATCCGCCACTTTACCAGATGCAGCACACGCTGACACTAGTGACTCTTCTGTAACAATCGAAGATTTTATTAACCGATTTCGACGCGAAAGCGATCAGTTCTGTTTAGTTCCCGATAACATGCTGGAAAAGGTATATCGCTCCATACGCGATGAAAAACTAGAAACTGCTTGGGATGATACAATGGAAGATACTCCGCAGATACCTGTCACTTTTCAACCCACTCGATTACCCAGTCGATTAACATTGAAAGAACCATCGGACTTTATCACTGTTTCGATACCTTCTCCAGATCCGCATTTCTACATAAGACTGCATGGGCAGGATCTTCGCTTCGAACCATCGGTACTTGATTTCTCTCGTCAGAACACAAAAAGATTCCGCATTACTGGAACTACGCTAGGGTCTAAATCGATGATGTTGATCAAATCTGGCGCACACGCCCCGCATTATACTAATCTACCGACAACAAAAACAGTACTCGTCGAACGTGCTTTTCTTAGATGGACATTTGAAATTGCATTCACTGATACCAATGGCCTCCGACGTAAATATGTATTTAGCGTTGATTCACAAGAACGTAAACGGCAATGGGTTGAAAGCATAAGAGGTGCAATAAACGAAGCAAGATTAAAGGCTTACAACATCAGTAGCCCCAAATTTGTCGTCGTAGATGACGATGATAAAGACAAAGATGATGAAGAGGAAGAAACAGGGCGAGTAAGCAGGCGAACTCCAGCCAAGGTCGATCCTAATGAAGCAGCAGAAGCGGTTGTATTACAAGTTCTCAGGGATGCACTAATACCAGATGAGAATGCCATGAATGACATTGGAGATCGGACAAGTGTAGTGGCTATTGGAGGATTGGGATCGATTGCTAATAGTCCGACATCCGCTGTTTCGACACCAATGGTTAATGCAGTAAATGGTTCTCATCCCTTTTCATCTCCTTCATTTTCGAGTTCTCCACAGTCCAGTTCTTCTCCTACATCCCATGTTCGTAAACATAATCGAGTAACTAGTCTTGCGAATATAGTGACTGGTAGTGCTGTTCGACAAAGCCTATTAAGGAATAGCGTGATTAGAAATAGCGTGTTGGTACCAAATTCTGCGACACAAGATATTGCAGTCGCAGCTTATGCCAAGACGGGACATGACATCATTAGGATGGCGGTACAGAATAGTTTATTACCGATAGTTCTTGGATATCTGAAGAGTGAATTGGAAAAGGCTGAAAACGATAGAGACGATAAAGAGCAAGTTGAGAAAGAGGAGAGTCAAGAAAATATGACAGGAAATGAAGGTGACGAAGAAAGTAAATAAATAATGTTTATTATTTAATGATTATTTTAAAAACTAATAGATGAAGAAATAGGTATCAAAAATTTGTATTTATAGATTAAAAGTATCTTAGCACACATGACCTAATAGTGTAGTAATACAATAATAGATGATCGCACTGTAAAGCTCGAATGAATAGAAGTATAATCTACTCTGTTCATTCCCCTCCAGATTATCAACAATAAAAGAACACAAATTGCTATTGAAGTTGGCAAGAGCGATAACGTGAGAAAGAATTACATCACAACTCATGCTATTAATATAATTGTAGCGCAAAACCATTTAAGCAGAAAACTGGAAGCAAACCATGTCGAAAAATTTCTATACTCGACTCGCAAGCAAGTACTTAAAAGCACTAGAGAGTGGCCAAAATTTTGATCTCCTTCTCTATGCGGGAAACGGAGAGGGCAGAAAGGAATTCAAAGCACATACACAAATACTGTGTATTCAATCAACGTTCTTTGAAACTACACTATCTAACGATCTGTTCAAGAAAAAGGATGATTATTATGTCCATGAGGAACCCGATGTTGATGCGGACGTATTCGAGGTTATTCTGAGGTAAGAATGTGGTAAAGATTGTGTTGAGCATGTTTACTATAAAGAGAATTACGTACATATTTAACGTTTATAGATATTTGTATACTGGGGAAGTGGACATAACAAAACATGATGGAGACAAGATTTTAAAAATTTTGATTGCGTCAGACAGACTGGGAATCGACGATCTGCCCGAGCTTGCAAAAACATATCTTACCGAAGAAAGAGCATCATATGTACGTGAACATGCCGCCAAAGTACTTAAAACAATTCATAACCTTAGGTCATTTGACGAGCTCAGGAAGCTTTGTCTTGAGGCGATTACTACCGATTTATTCAAATCTGACGGTTACTTGACATTGGGAGAAGATATTCTAGTCCCGATCCTAGAGCGAGACGATTTTTATATAAAGGAAGTTGTACTGTGGAAACATGTCTTGAAATGGGTACTAGCCAAACATCCAGGGCTGGATAATGATCCATCGAAATGGACGGCAACTAATGTCAAGCAAGTGAAAACAACGTTGGATGCTCTAGTTGGAACCGTTCGGTTCTTTCTAATGTCATCAGATGAATATTATAATGAAGTCAGACCATATAAAAAAATACTGCCGAGAGGTGTGAATGAACAGGTTATGCTGTATCTGTTGACTGGCAAAGGTTCAGAAAGTATCATGGCAAAGCCAAGAGTAAGAGCTTCTTCAGAGATTAGCGGATAAGTTTACGCGCGAATGCCTGGCAGGGTGAGTTACGATGGTTTTATGTCGACCAAACTGGTTTCGTTGGTTATTATAAGGCAAATATATTATTAGTTATATGACAGATTTAAATGATTAGCAGTTTTCTTTTTGGGGAAATACCGTGTGTTATTGTGACATAAATAAACAGATCAGCCCGATACATCGTTACCTAATCGACAGTCATGTGATTACGTGAAATGGGTTGTTGTGTTTTGACATCACATCACTAGAGCGGAAACAAAATACTTAAAAGCCAATGATGTGTTTTTTAATTTAGACTTGTCGTAGATTCGAAACCCTAGAAAAACTAGTTGAGGGTATCTAAAATTGCCGTTCGGTACTTGTTCTGTTGTATTACAAGTAACGAATAGTGAACAGCATGTATAATACGCGTGCAAGAAGCGAGAAAGAAGTAACCATAATTCATACTCAAATAGTTGTTGGGTCAAAATTTACTATTGACGCTAACCGCCAACGGTTTCGCCAACGAACCCATCCGCGTTCGCGTGTGGAAGTTTATATTCCAAAAGAAAAACGCTTGCTGGCTTACTACGACGTCTTTCACTTCCGATGACGGCGCTTATTGCTCTTCATAACAATACCTAACAGTATGTCTATTTTTTATTACGACTTTTACATTACAGTATCTAACCTGCTTTGTTGTATATTTATTAACTTCGTGTTCACCTTAACCAGTCACCGAACATTTCACGGGACTTGCAATTTCATATAAGGTTGCACAAAATAATTATTTGTTTTGATCTTGACATGGACTTTCT